ACCTTTGTCCTTCCACAGCACTCCTGAAGTGCTGTTCCTTGGGAGGAACCAGAATGAGAGAAATCCCTGCACACACTTTTCCTCTCCCTCCTCATCCCTAGGGAGAATTATCACAGCCCTGGATTTTTCAATGGAAATATTCCCCTAAAAGCCGTTTGTTTCTCCCTTTGGAGCAGTAGAAGATGATGAAATTTTTAAAAAGCTAACACAAAATAAAGATATGACTTGGAGACAGTGTTTAACCATCCTTTTCCTGAGTTTTTAAATTGGGATAATGGGATAAAACCTCTGTCCTTGCACAGCACTCCTGAAGTGCTGTGAGGGGCTGTTCCTTCAGAGGAACCACAATGTGAGAAATCCCTGCACACGCTTTTCCTCCCCCTCCTCACCCCTGGGGACAAAAAATGCAGCCCTGGATTTTTCAATGGAAATATTCCCCTAAAAGCCATTTGTTTCTCCCTTTGGAGCAGTAGATGATGAAATAAAAAAAAAAATACACAAAATAAAGACATGACTTGGAGACAGTGTTTAACCATCCCCTTTCCTGAGTTTTTAAACTGGGATAATGGGATAAAACCTCTCTCCTTCCAGGCTGCTTGTTGGGAGGGGATCAGGGAGATGCTGGACCTGGATGTGAGATGCAGGAAAAAGCCTTGATGGTGAGAGATTTTCTTCTCCCCCTTTTCCCTTCCCTGGAAACAAACAGTGTGTGACTGCTGTAACTCGGAGCCTGCCCAGCAAGGCAGCTTGTTTACTGTTGTCTTTGGTGGCTTGAAGCTGTGTGGCCTTGTCCCCGTTCCAGGAAATGCATGGACGCGGCTGGCTGAAGGAAAACCCTCACGCCTGTGCAGTTTTGGGGTGGCACAGAGCCACCTCAGCCTCATTGTTAGCAGATTCCAGCCTTGCCTCACTGTGCTCTGTGCCACACACCACGCTGGGACGGATGGCCTCCAACAAAAACCCCTCCAAAGTCACCCTGTTCTCCCTCATGGAGCTGTGGAGGCTCCATTCAGCCCATGCTGGTTTCTCTCTGCATTTCTCCCTCAAATTAGGGAAGGGAGAAAGGGAGAATGTCCTGGGAAGGTCACATCCCTCATGGAACACCTTGGTGGTCACTGCTGGTCCCAAACCCAGCCCCAGGGGTTCACTCCACACCAGCATCTTCCCCCAGTGAACCTCAAAGAGAGGGGAGAGCAGCAAGAGCAGCTCAACAGCAGCATCCCAAATGTCTGTGCCATGAAAGGAGCTGGAAAGAATGTGCCTGGCCACATGACAGGCCAGGCCATCGGGCTGTGCAGAGAATAGAGAGCCCTCAGTCTGAATTATTGGGAACAAAGTTGGCTCAGGAAAGCGTTTCCCATTGTACTGCTGAGCATTTCTGCTCATCACAGAGCTCTGCTGCTGCTGCTGCACCCAGGGCTGGGCTGGGGATCACTTCACTCCCCATTAAAGCAGAGTAGAGATCCATCAGCAGCATTTCAGACCTTTCTGCAGCATCCAGGCACTGCCTTGCCACTGTTGAAGATTTTCTGATGAGTTTTAAGCAGTAAAACTGAGTCAGGATGCTCCTGAGATGAGGCACATTTTGTGTCTTTGTGCACAGGTCACAGCTACAGCAGGCACAGAATGAGGAATTATGATTTGAGGAAATATTCTGCTCTTTAAAGGCTGTTCATTCTCTCAGAGAATATTTCAGGGTATGGATTTTATGGTTTGATTGTTGGTATTTTAGTATCACACTACAGCAGGTACAGAATGAGGAATTATGATTTGAGGAAATATTCTGCTCTTTCAAGGCTGTTTATTCACTCAGAGAATATTTCAGGCTGTGGATTTTATGGTTTGATTGTTGGTATCACAGGTCACAGATACAGCATGTACAGAATTAAGAATTATGATTTGAGGAAATATTCTGCTCTTTAATTCAGACAGAGAATATTTCAGGGTAGGGATTTTATGGTTTGATTGTTGGTATCTTAGTATCACACTACAGCAGGCACAGAATGAGGAATTATGATTTGAGGAAATATTCTGTTCTTTAAAGGCTGCTCATTCACTCAGAGAATATTTCAGGCTATGGATTTTATGGTTTGATTGTTGGTATCTGGCATAGCCTTGGTCTGGGCCAAAGTAAAACATCAGCAGGCTTCAATTCCTTGAGATTTCTTATAAGATCAGAACCCAAGGATTCAATAAAATCTCCTGCACTTCAGAGTTTTGTGGAATTACAGAAACCCCTCCAGACTCTGCTCTAAGTGATGCCTTCCTGAGGCTGCAGAGAGCCTGGAACAATAGCCCTGACACAGGCACACTGCCCCATTCACTTTTTCTACACAATCTGCTGCTTCCTTTAGGGTCAGCCCACAAGAGAAAATCCACATCACACAGCTGCAGACACCAGAAGGCCATGCAGGGCTGTGCCTTGGCCATTCCTGTGTTTAATTAATTTCATTTAATCCAACAGCAGTTTGGCAGCTGGCACTGACATGTCTTTTAGCTGGAGAAGAGCAGCACCAAGAGCCCCATCCTGATTTCAGACAGGGATTTACTGACTGAGATGGCAGCACCTGAAAAACCTTGATCTTTATTAATAACCTCATCAAAAATACAAAATTCTGCAGCATTTTTCCAGTCCAATTAAAAATACTAATAAGCTTAAGCTTACAGTAATTATTTTTCTTCCTGAGCACACTTCACAGAATCATAAAAGTTGGAAAAGAGCTCCAGGATCATCAAATCCAATCTGTGACCCATCCCCAGTTTATCACCAGCCCAGAGCACTGAGTGCCAGCTCCAGCCCTTCCTTGGACACCTCCACCACCTCCCTGACCCTTTCCATGAAGAAATTCCTCCTATTTCCAACCTGTTGCACACCCCTAGTCAGCAACTCCTCATAGCATGGTTTGGAGTTTAAATCTCAGCTGGGAAAGCAACAGGATATTGGGTAAATACAGTGAAACGTGGCATTGAAACATGACAGAAACAAGTGACAGGCTGAAAAGAGCCAAGGTTTTGGCCACTGCTCACCTGTGGGTTCACCCAGAGCCACAACTGCAAACAGAAAAACATCCAGATGTTTGTCCGAACCAAGCTGGGCCCTGGCTGCAGGCTGGGCTGACAGGAAAGCAAGCGAAGTCACCACATTTACAGAAGACACAAACAGATCTGCACTGAAACTCAAGATGGGAAGAACGGAAAGAAGGTAGAGGATGTGATCCCCACAAAAGTGACCAGAAAAGGGTCACACCTGAAATGCAACAGGGCAAGTTTGAGATGCTGGAAGTTTTCTTTGGCAGAGTCACTGGATTTTAACTGCTAAGGTCACCTGGATATCTTCAGCAGAGCAAGAAATATCCCAGAGTGAAAAGGAACAGCAAATGATCTCATTACTCAATTTGCCATCATTTGGAAAGGGCAGCAGGGATGGATAATTATTTTTTTGCTTTTCTTTCCTCTGCTTTGGAAGCTGCTGATGCAGTGAGTGTGTTTGGGCAGTAACACAACCCCGGCTCTCAGCCCTGAATGCCAAGGGCTGCAATGAGACCCAGAGGGTTGTGCAGCCTGAGTTTGGGCTCAGTGATACTGGAAATCATTTGGAGCTGTTCAAAGAGTGGAATGGAACTCCTGATTTGTTCCAGATCCTTTGCTGACCTTACAAGAAGTTCACAGAATGACAGAATGGTTTGGGTTGGAAGGGATTTCAAAGATCATCTTGTTCCAGCCCCTGTGCTGTGAACAAGGACTGTGAACAAAGACACCTTCCACCATCCCAGGGTGCTCCGACCCTGTCCAGCACTGCCAGGGATCCAGGGGCAGCCACAGCTGCTCTGGGCACCTGTGCCAGGGCCTCAGCACCCTCACAGGGAACAATTCCTTCCCAAAATCCCAGCTAAATCCACTCTGTGGCAGTTTGAAGCCTTTCACTGTGTCCTGTCCCTCCATCCCTTATCCAATGTCCCTCTCCATTGGGAGAAGGAGTGAATTCCACCTGGAAAGTGATAAGCTCACCCCAAAACCTTCCTCCAGGTTGAACAATCCCAATTCTCTCTACCTTTCCATCCCTCTGCTCATCCTGCTGCCTCCTCTGGAGCTCTTTGTCCTTCCTGTGCCCCAGAGCTTTCCTCCAGCCCTTCCCTACAGAGCCACAAATGATCAGAACTTTATATTTAATACTGAATAAATGTCTGACCCTCAAGGCATAATAATCTGCTTAAAATATACTTAACAGTACTCCCTGGCTAAAAGAAAAAACTTTTCAACTCTTACTTTAAAAAAAAAAACCCATTTAGATGCTTACTTTGACTACGTGCCCAGCACCACTGGCAAAAGTGCTTCTGTTTAGAAAGGATGGCTGGGCCAAAATTTAACTTGTTTTTCAGGAATAGGAAACCCAAGAGGGAAAAAAAAAAAGGTAATAAGAGCCATAGCAGATAAATCATTATTGGCCATTACATTGGAAGGGAATGTTCATGTCCAGGGCAGTGCCTGGGAGCATTTTCAGCTGGAGAAGTTGGGTGGTGATGCCTCATCTTCCTCACTGGGATGTGGAAGAGCATCAGGGATGGTGACAAAGCATCAATCTCCAGAAAATTCCCAAAGAATTCCATGCCAGACTGAGCACCAACAAGTTCTGACCATGATGTGCCTGCTTTTCATTTCAATAATAATAATAATAATAATAATAATAATAATAATGTTATTTCACAGAGGCAAAGGAATCACATCCCATCAGAAGAGACAATCAGGAAAAGCAGCTAAATTATAAAATTATACCGCTAAATTATAAAATTATATAGCTAAATTATAAAGTCATAATTTTATAATTATCTGATCCATCAGAAAAGCAGTTTTGGGGAAAAGCAGAGAAAATTGGGATTTGTTTTCCTTTGAAATAAGAACTATATGGTTTACCAAGGGCAGATTTAGCAAAAAGCTGAGAAAGGGTTCCCATCTTTCCCACCTGATGTTACCAGCTCTTACTAGAGCCAGTGTTTCCACAGCCACTCTTCAAGGCACAAAAAGGACAATCTCTCTGTCCCTGGTCATTTTTATAAAAAATAAATTGGAAACTTCCAACAGGCAAAGCCCATTTTTCAGTAAACACAATTGTTACCCTCCGGACAGATTTCCTGCTGCTGCCTTTTAACGTGACAGGTATCAAGGGGCAGGGCTTTAAGCCAGGCTTAACAAAACCACCAAACAGCACCAAAACCAGAGTGTGGGTACTTTGTGGGCAATTATTTATGGAGAAACGGCTCCTCTGTCACCTGTGGGGACAAACCTTTGCATGTCCATGTGCAGAACAGAGGAAAGTTTGTGCAGAAATTTGGTTTTGTTAAACCTGAGGGTTACAAAAAAACCTTACAACTTCAGGTTGGCTTTTAAAAAAACAATGAAAACACCTTTTTTTGTGGGTTTTTCCCCTCCATACTCATTTGTGAGTATTGATTTCTCCTTGCCCTTTGTCCCTGTGGCTCTTGGCCAGCTCCACCCTCAGGGCATTGCCCCCAAGGCTCAGGCCCTGCAAGGAGGACAGAGCTCTGTGTGCAGCCCCCTGCTCCCTGTAGTCCAGGAAAGCTCTGTGCTGTGCTCCTTGCCACTTCAGGGCAGCAGGAAGCACCTGCAGCTCCCTCAGGGCACTCTTCAGCTGGCTCACCCTCAGGCTGCCAGGCAGGTTCCCAACATACACAGTGGTGGTTGTGTCAGATCCCTCAGATTCGGGATTTACAGATTTGGGGTTTACAGGGTCACTCCATGGCTGGGGATTTGCAGCCATCACCTTCCTGTCTGGAATTGCTGCTCTGCTGGTGTCTGCCAGGGCTGGGTGTTCATCTTGGAGGGTGACATCCTTGCCAGCCTGCTTCTCCCTCCAGCGAAGAGTCTTTAGGATGGGGATTTTTCCCAGCATCTCAGAGCTGACCTAAAAAGGAGGAAGATGGATGTAATTATTGTAAAAGGATTTTTCTTGCCTTCCAGAAAAAGATTATGCTGTTTGTGCCACAAAAAGAGAGGAAACTTATTATCCTCCTGCCATGCAGACAGCCAGAGCATTCCGAATGTTCCTAATTGCTGCTCTGATTGGGAAGGATCCCTAAATACACACTCAGGACAAAAATAAACATCAGAGACTCCTGAAGTGAGCAGCACAACGTGGATCCAGCAGGCAAACCCCAACCAACGGCAGGAATATTCCAATGTGACATTTATTTATCTGAGTGCTTTCAGATCTGCATTCTCCTTGTTCTCCTCCCTCTGTGTTTGCTTTGACTGAGGGCCTGTGCTCCTGTCCTAAAGAATCCTACACAATCTCTGTCCTGGCAGAATCCTACAGAATTTGTCCTGGCAGAATCCTACACAATCCCTGCCCTGACAATCCCCTGGCCTGACAGAATCCTACACAATCCTTGTCCTGGCAGAATCCTACAAAATCATAGTCCTGGCAGAATCCTACACAATCCCAGTCCTGGCAGAATCCTACACAATCCAGTCCTGGCAGAATCCTACACAATCCCAGCCCTGACAGAATCCTATACAATCCCTAGCCTGGCAAAATCCTACACAATCCTTGTCCTGCCAGAATTCTACACAATCCCTGTGCTGGCAGAATCCTACACAATCTTTGTCCTGACAGCATCCTACAGAATCCTTGTCCTGGCAGACAAGGCAGACAAGGATTCAGAATCCTATATAGTTCCCTGGCCTGGCAGAATCCTATAGAATCCCTGCTCTGGCAGAATCCTACACAATCCCAGCCCTGACAAAATCCTACGTGACCATAGTCCTGACAGAATCCTACACAATCCCAGCCCTGGCAAAATCCTACGTGACCATAGTCCTGACAGAATCCTACACAATCCCTGGCCTGACAGAATCCTATACAATCCCTGGCCTGGCAGAATCCTATACAATCGCTGGCCTGGCAAAATCCTACACAATCCTTGTCCTGGCAGAACCCTACACAATCCCTGCCCTGACAATCCCCTGCCCTGACAGAATCCTGCATAATTCCTGCCCTAACAGAACCCTACACAATCCCTGCTCTGGTAGAACCCTACACAATCCCAGCCCTGGCAGAATCCTACATAATCCCTGCCCTGACAATCCTCTGCCCTGGCAGAACGCTACACAACCCCAGCCCTGGCAGAATCCCTCCCAACCCAGCAGACCCTTCCATCCTGCCGAGCTCCTGGTGCTCTCTTGCCCCAGCACAGGAAATCCCTGGGCTGGCCCACACAATGGAGGAGCTGCAGCAGGAGCGTGCCTTGGAGCAGGGTTCCTGTGCATGTGGGCCCAGCTGGAGACACATCCCCTGCTTGGGGCACATCCCCTCTGTGCCACCCGACCTCCCACAGCACCCACAGCTCCTCAGACCCCACAGGGAAGTGCTGGGCTGGAGCAGGGAACAGAAGTGCTGGGACACTGCACTCACACTGTGAGTTTGCTATTGCTGCCATCCATCCATCCATGCCTGACCCAAAGAGCTTTTCTGGAAGGGCTCTTCCTCTCAACAGCTGAACCCCATCCATGTGAGGCATGAGATGCCCCAGGCTGCACTCAGGCACTGGCAGGAAATGCAGTGGTTCCCCAGCTCATGTGGTCGAGCTCTTGGCTTGCACACTGAGCTTGGAAGGAGGAGGAATTCCTGCTTGGCTGCTGGACAAGCCCAACATCCATCAACACCAGCTCCAATGCTGAAATGCAGGGAGCAAAGCAGAGCCTGGGGAGGCAATGCCTGAGCTAGCAGAGACCCAGGATGTGAGAGGGCAGCACCCTGAGCAGGCTGGGCTGGAGCAGCACCAGTACATCCCAGTATGCCTGCAGAGCTCCCAGCTCAGACCTCACTATGGGAATTAAATACCCAGAGCCTCTGGATTGCAGCTCAGGCCTCACCATTGGAAATAAATACCCAGAGCCTCTGGATTGCTGCTCCTGCAGTTCCAGGCACAGCCAGCCTGTGTCTGCACAGCATCAAGCTCAGCTCCCTGGGGACACAAACCCAGCCCTGAAGTGACTCGAGGAACAGCCAATGTCAGGATGAGGTGACAGGCAAGTCACTCAACAGCATTGTCTTCATCTTCTGAAGAGCAAACAAGCAAGGTTTCATTTCAGGCTGGAACTAAATAAAACCATGATTTCCAGAAAGCTTGTGCTAGCTCTGCTAACACAACATCAAACAGCAAGGACTTGCTCCAGGAGCCTCCACACTCACAAAGGTGCAGAGCATTTCCACATTTTACAGAGTTATTTCTCTGTGGATTCTGGGGCTGATTTGTTTTTCCCAGCCAAGAATTCCAAGTGCTGTGTTTGACAGCAAACCCCCCTTCCCTGAGTGATACAACATCAAACCAAGGGCTGAAGGATCTCACTTTGTTTGTGCTGGCCAACAATGAAGAAGGTTTGTTGTCCTCTGTCAAATTTCCATGCGAAATGGAAGCTCTATGCTAATTAAACCAAACAGGAAAAACATTTTTCTGCTCTCATGCAACCCAATCACTCCTGGCCCCAAAGCACAGCCCAAGAACTGCTCCTTTCATCCTGAAATTACACTCAGTTGCCAAGGCATGGCTTGGGTGTTTGGTTAGAAAGGGAAATGCTACCAAGGGCAAACCCTCAGGGCTTTGAAGATTGGGGAATCAGAGATGGGCACTGAGAGGATCAACCCTGGAATTCCCAGGACAATCCAAGGGCAGGATTCAGATAATCCAGGGAACAGCACAATCTCCAAGGGACTTCCACCAGGCACCTCCTCTCACTAAGGAGATTTTGGCATCAGCTGCAGCTCTTGGAGCTGCTGTTTCAGGCTCCTGGCAGCCTCAGGAAGATGCAGTGACAACAGCATTTATGTTTCAGGAGGAATTTCTGCACAGAAAGGGGGATCAGACATTGGAATTGCTGCCCATGGTGGAATACTCATTCTGGAGGTGTTTATGGAAAGACAGGACATGGCACTCAGCTGTCTGGTCTGGGATCTGTCAGAGGTTGGACTTGATGATTTTGGAGGTGTTTTCCAACCTCAGTGATTCTGGGATTTTTGTATGGGCTATGAACTCTTTTCTTTAAAGTTCTGATCAAACCCCACCATGAAGTGATTCTGTCATTGCCTCAAAATCCAGCCCTGTGCAGGCACAACAGCAACAGACCTTCACCAAAGCAACAAAGGCAGCTGATTTAAGATTTTTATTTTTTTCTATTAGCAGAGATTTGTAAAAAACATTAGGCAAGTTCTGCCACTGTCAGCTGACACCCTCCTGTCACAAGAGGCACAGGGATTTACCTTAAGGGCTTTTTTCTCTGGGTTCTAGGAGAACATTTCAGCTGGACCAAACCTTCTAAACCCTTCCTTGTTTTCTCTCACTTTTATGCCACTGAAAGGCAGAAACTCCATTTGGGGTTTCAATTCAACAAATAAATCCATTGGGGTTTTGGGGTTTTTGAGGGTGAGAACTAAAAGGGCAAAGGGGGCAGTGGGTGGCAGGGGAGAGGAAAAAGCTTGTTCTACTCTGTTGCAAGAGAGCAAACAAAAGAACCCTGTGATAGCACAATGTGTTGCTAATTACAATGATGCAAAAAGTTCCTTTTGTCCTGTGAGCTGGGGAGGATTGCAAGGATTTATTTCCATGTGGAGAGAGGCCAAAGACATTCTTCCTCTCTTTCAACAAGCTGCACACTCTGGTGGCTGGTCAGTCCTCCCTAGACTTGCTTATCCCTATTCCTGTCCCTGCCTACTGCTTTAGGCTAAACCAGAATTTAGAGACATTCCAGCCCAGGTCTGGTTGATCCAGCTCTGTGAACATTGGCAAACCCAGCACTGGAAGCTTCCCCCATCCCTTAAAACCAAGGCCAAACCATTTACTGATGTTTTGAAAGCTTGGATTGAGTGTTGGGATTTAGCTTTGCTAGTGAAACCAAAGCTGAAGAAGTTCCCTGTCATCCCCTGACCACCAATTCCCAGACCAGTTCCACACTTCAGCCCTCTGGGGCTGGCCAAAGCAATGCTCATGGTTCTGTGCCATAAACTCTGAAATAATTTGGGTTAAAAATAACCCCACCAAAGCCAATTAATCATTTAATAATCCCTGTGGACAGTGGAAGGTGTGCAGGGGCTTGGAATAAGATTCTCTTTCAAATTCCTTTCAGCACAACCCATTCCATGATTTTAAGATGGAGAGTGATGATGCAGCCTTGGCAGGCTGCAAACAGCACCAAAACCTCCAGGACTGCAGATCCACCAACCCCTTCCAAACAGAAGGGCAAAATTGTTTGCAAGGTTCATCCTCAGAGGGCTCTGACCCCAGATTGTTCAAAACCTCCAGCACAGACCCAACTTTTCGTGCTGTGTCCCCTTTTCATGCTGTGTCCTCGTTTCCAGGAGCTCTGAGCAAACAGGGATTTGTGGCACAGACAAGGCCAGCACAGCAAAGCCAGCACAGTTGAACGTTTTATCACTCATTTGCACAAAATGTCCAAATATGTGCACACACAACCCAAGGGCACATTGCTGGGAGCTGGCAGCCTGCTGGTGTCCCTCAGCAGAAACTCGTGCAGCCCACACTGGGAATCCATCAGGGCATTCTGGGGACTCTGCAGCGAGGCTGAGCCTTACCAAGGTGCTGAGATGTGTGAGCAGGTGTGGAAACATTCCCTGCCCCAAGCATCCCAAAATCCACACCAAAACAAAGCCCTGCCCACACTGACTGCAATTTGCCACCTTGGATGGGTGCATTTTTGGAGCTTTCCTTTCCAGATGTTCTATCACACACCCAAAGCTGTTGTTTGTTGTTTCCATCTCTGCTACTGGGATTCCCCTCCAGTTCATTTCATTTCATCTCATCTCATTTCATTTCATTTCAGGAAAATTCTTTTCCTACTCCTACAAAATCCTCAGCAAAAGAATTATTTCAAAGCCAGAAGGAAATACTTGCTAAAATATAGTGATTTTTCCACCAACTACTCTCCTTTCCCTCTTCGTGAACTCAAACATTTTAATTTGTCTGCACAGTTTCAATTTAAAATAAGCACAGCACAAATAACTTGATAATTGGGACAAATATAATAGCCAGTGTCCCAGATAAAGATCACAGTTACCCACAGAAAATATTAAATGAGAAAGCAAGTAGCTTCATGAATTTAGAGTTCCCAGAAACAATGGGTTGGATTTTCATGACAGATGAAGCCAAATAATTCTCTACTGGCATCCAAATAAAGTTCTCCAGAGTGCTCAGCTCTCAGCAGCTCTTGCTGCCCTCCAGTAACTCAAATTGATGTCCCAAAGCTCTGACCTCAGAGAGACAAAAGTTCCACAAACACCCCCCAGCACTGGGGATGTTGAAGTGTTTCTGGAGTGCCTGATAATGATTCTTTGGTGTTGATGATGTTGTGGCTCTTCCACTTCCTTGGAAGTCTTTAAACAGCTCAGAACACACAAAAGCACTCCAGGAAAATGCAGCAGCTCCTTCAGCCATGGATTTGTTTGCTGGGTGAGCTCCTTCCCTTCCCTTCCCTCTGGAGCTGAGTGTGCATTACTGACAGCACATCCCCACAACAACCCTCAGCTGTAATCCCATATTTGCAAACACCTGGATTTCAAACTCCTAAACATTGTCCAGCCCTGCTCCCCAAGGATCAGCTTTTTTTAAACAATGGATTTTCCACCTCACAGGTCCTCACAATGAAGTTAAGCTACTCAGTGTTGACAAAAGCCCGTGTTCAGAAGTGGATGATTTATTTACTCACTGCCTCTTGGTTCATTTAGTTTTGCTCTGAGGAACAGGAATGCACCAGCAAAGCCAGGATTTGAAGGAGAAAAGGATGGGGAGAAAATGATGGAGAAGTAGCCAGAAAATCCAGAGGATAAACACTGAAATAGCCCCTATCAAATGCTGCCTTTTTCACACCCCGTGATTAACCAGACCTCCCACCTCCAAAACTGTCTGTGCAAAAACTGAACACCACAGGCACACACTAAATAAATGTCACTCATTTCCCTGGGGACAATGGTAATTTCTGCTTCATACAGAAATTACCACACTTTGTTCTGGTCCCAAAAAGACAGAAAAGTGATGATTATCCCTGGTCTTCTCCAATATTCCTATTTAATCCATACAGCTCCAAACAAAAGGTGTTAAATCAACACTGAAATATTCAAATAAAGGGTCAATCTGTGCTCCATTCTCAGTGAAAGCTGCAGAAAATTCAGTTTCTGCTAAAGGCACATAAAAAAAAAGAAATAGAAAAGTGTCAGCAAGGCCACTTACTGAGAAGTCTGACACCAAGGCAGACAAACTGATCAAAAATATGTTGGCAAGATGGATGGAGCACAAGGGGTAGGCCTTCAACACAATTACATTCAATAATATCCTAAAAAAAATTACAATTCAAAAATAATTCAATGGAAAAAATGCACTAGGGCAGACAGAGCTGTTATTTATTTATTTATAACCTCAAATCCTCAACCACAGGCAGGGTAAAATGCTCTCCCACTTCTGGAATAAAAATAGTCCTGGCTAGAATTTGTTTGTTGTAGATACATTACCTAAAGAAATTTAACTCTTTCAGCTGGTTGGTAAATTTTAACAAATTTTGATTTCCTTCCCTGGGAGTATTCCCTTAAAATTGCTCAGTTTGTGCAAGATGTGGGTGCACAATTCCTCAAATCAGCATTCCTGCTGTAGTCACTCATGCAGGATTGGGTCTGCTCCCTGACTGGATGATTTCAGAAATGAAAATCCAATGACAAAGAAAAAGCTTTCCCAGCAGGAACCTCCAGTAAAACAATTTACTCCAGGCTTTCCTGAAACTACTTGGGAAGCTGAGGAAGTTTCTGACACTGGGCAGGGGGAAAAGGCCAATCCATAATAGAATTACCAATAAATAAAGATTTATGTTTAAAGTCTCTTTTCTTCCACCTGAAAATGAGCTGCAGCCACAGATTTATCCCTGGAAAGTGAATCCACTGCAGGAACAGGAATGCACCAGCAGCTGGTTGTGTTTTCCTTTCACAACCAGCAGCACAGACTTTACCCACCAGTCCCACCCCTGGGACACTTCAGGATGGGGCAGCACCTCCTGATAACCCATGGGTACAGCAACCTCAGATGGAGGGAAATATCTCCTCACCATTACCCCTAAAACCCCACTGCCCACAGATGCTGCTGCTTTGTTCCACCTGACAAACACATCTGTTCTTTTATCAAATATTTCTAATTTTAAAAATTGTTTCTATATAAAAATGGGGGGGGGGGGGGTTATCAGCAGATTATTGGTACCAGTAAGCCACCAGCAGCAAAGGTTTAAGATTTAACTTGATGAAGATTGAGCTTGCCTTGTGCCACCAACAGCAAAGATTTAACTTGATGAAGATTGAACTTACCTTGTGCCACCAGCAGCAAAGGTTTAAGATTTAACTGGATTAAATTGAACTTGGTTTGTGCCACCAGCAGCAAAGGTTTAAGATTTAACTGGATTAAACTGAACTTGCCTTGTGCCACATTATTCCCTGAGGTTCTGTTAAACTGAACTTGCCTTGTGCCACATTATTCCCCGAGGTTTTGGTCGTTTGCAATGGGTCTGGATGGTCCTGGTTGGAGTGAGGATGTAATCCACAGTTAAATCGTGGTCACCCAGCAGCTCCTCTGCTATGTCAAGCACCTACAAGGCAGAGATTTGGTTAAGTAGCTAAAAACAAACTCCCTAAAGCTGTGCCCCATTCCTGATGTCTTGCCACATGAAAATCCATCAAAGACAATGGGAAGGAAGATGCCAAACCAGCTTCATTCCATGTCTCCTCTGCAGACAGAGCAGGAAGTGTCCCAGAGCTCCCTCCCAGCTGCACAGGGGATATTTGGACATCTCAGCTCACCTGGCAGTCGTGCACGATGGTGACCACAGGTGTGTCCTCCTGCACTGCCCCCATGGACACCATCATTGCATACTCCATGTCTGCATAACCTTCCCCTTTGCCAATTCTCCAGCCTAAAGCACAGAAAAGTGTGAAAAAAAACCCCCAAACAGCACAGTGGAAAGTTGTTAAAATGGTGTAATTAACCCAGCAGTCTGCAAGTTGTAACTCTGGAAAAAATCAGATCAGCATCTCTCAGAGAGTGCAGCTTTCCTTGAAATCAGCACTGAAATGAAATAAAAAATCAGTTTTTAATGACTTCTAAAAGATTCCAGAAACTTCCCATTCAGAATAAACAAATTCATGTAATTAACCCAGCAGTTTATTTAGCAATTGTATTTAGAACCTTCTATTCATGTCCCACACAGGTTAATGTGGGTAAAGAGGAGTCTGGGTCACATATAAAAACTGTGTTATTTTAGGCAAGGGATAAAGTCAGTGGAAAATTTTCAGCACCAGCAGGTTTCCAAAATACTCGAAAATGCAAAATCTGATCCCCAAATAGGCCCTGAATCAGCAGGTCTAACACAAGGCCTTTCACACAGCCTGTGTGAGCAGAGCAGATCTGTGACAGGGAGCCTGCTTGGATTCCTTCAGAACACAAAGAATTGCTTTCCTCAAGAAAAAAACCACTGAAATAGCCCCAGAACATCTCTGAGGCCACTGCTGTGTGCCCCCTGCATCCTGAGGCACCCCTGCTTCCCTGGCAGCAGGGACTGGGCACACACAGGGGCAGAAGCCAAGGCCACAGCTCGGCCCCAAGGGGAAATCTGGCTCTGCCACTGGGCTGGGATTTGGGACCTTTCTGCTGCAAGTTTCTCCTCACCTTTTTCAGAGACAGCCACTGACCCCACAACAACCAAGTCCACTTGTGCTTTGCTATCCAGCCCCACAGGCACGCTGAAGTCTCTCACACCCTGCAGGGAAAAAACAGCATTTGAGGTTTGCAGAGGGCACAATCTTCCAGGGACTGAGGCAGAAATCCAGGGTATTTTGATAAATCCCAGTAAGTCCCCACGTTTCCAAGTGTCTCTTCCATGTTTAGCCAAGCTGTACATGTCTGGGAAGTTATCCCCCAGGGAACCCTAGAATAGATTCCCTACTAGAGTGACAGGAATTTTGGCACACTGCAAGGAGAGCTGAGGGAGGTGGGCACTTTTAGAAGCAAGGTTTTTTATTTAGGATCAAAAGCTGATATTTTGAAACATTTTTTTTGGAAATCTGTTCCTAAAAATGAGGACAAGTGACACTTCCTATTTACACTTCCCTACTCTACTAAAAGCCTGAGGAATACCAGAGCACTACAAATGCTTCAATTAATTCTGAAATACAAATCACAAAGTTAATTTAGACACAGACAGCTACAGCACAAAGAAATATGGAGTTACACAAAGTGATACAATTATTTTTTTTCCTCCTCTCTCTCCTTGTTCAACCCCACCCACTCCTCTTCAATCTGTTCTCATCTTAACGAAAATTCTGCCCAGACTGCAGAAATTAAAAATTATGTTTACTTGGGTTTTTAAATATCAGAGGTTTACAATTATTTAAAATATACCTTGTGATTCAATCACTCCCAATAAATGTGTACAGCACACTGCAAATGCTCCTCACACCAACTCAACTCGCTGCTAATTATAAATTAACAATATTAAAATCACAATAAAGAGCCAAACATTTTCTGTGCAGAGCAGAAAGCCCAAGAATTCAGTAATTTGTGGCTGACTATCAGCACTAACACCCATCAGGCACCTCCCAGCAGCGTGGTCAGGATTGTTTGCACAGCGCTCTGTAAATACAAACTGCCAACAGCATTTCCTCATTAGTGGGCTGGGGGAAAAACGAGACACAGGGTGGTAAGAGCCCAGATCAGACAGCAGGCCAAGAGAAAGGTCTCTTACAAAAGTGCTCTTCAGCCCTGAACAGCTTAATTAGTTAATGACTGCCATAGAACTCCCAACAAAGAAAGTCACTACTAATTACCAGCCTTTACAACCTCGGTTGTTTACGGGGTTGCTGCAGAACTTTATTGCCTTTAGCAGGAGATAAAGGAGGAAACAAATCCCTGTGGTAAGCTCTTCATGTTGCGTTTTCATGGCAAATAAAGACGTAAACGCTGCAGGGCTGTCTGGCCACAGCCCGAGGCTGTGCGGTGAGGATGGAACACGAGAGGGCAGCAAGAGACCGCGGCAAACCCGACCTCCCCACGTGGCTGCATAAAAATGCCACAATTCACGGCTCTTTGGGTCTTGTGTTCTATAAAAAACCTCGTCTTTTCTATCTGGTAACACATAAGAGCACTGAAATATTCCCCAGAGGGCTCAGAAGCTCAAAACTGCAGGATGGAGGAGCACGGAGAAAGATCTAACTCACCTCAAGTCATGATTTTCCAAAAGACACTGAGAAATATCAATACTGTCCTGCTAAGACTGAATTTTCTCCTGTTTTCAACATTATCAATGTACATAAAGCCAGGAATCACATCCTAACATGAAAGTATTTCAGTTTTTCCAGCTTCCAGCTGGTCCATGCTAAGCCCACACTGTCCCAAGGTTAACTCAGCCCTCCCTGATGCCCCATTCCCACCTGAGGTGTGGCTCCATCTCCTCAGCACTTCCTTGGCTGAAGATGGTAACTTTCCTAGCTGGTAACACCTAAGAGCACTAAAATATTCCCCAGAAGGTTCAGCAGCTAAAAACTGCAGGATGGAGGAGCATGAAGAAAGATCTAACTCACCTCAAGTCACGATTTTCCAAAAGACACTGAGAAATATCAATACTGTCCTGCTAAGACTGAATTTTCTCCTGTTTTCAACATTATCAATGTACACAAAGCCAGGAATAACATCTAACCGGAAGGTATTTCAGTTTTTCCAGCTTCCAGCTGGTCCATGCTAAGCCCACACTGTCCCAAGGTTAATTCAGCCCTCCCTGATGCCCCATTCCCACCTGAGGTGTGGCACATCTCCTCAGCATCTCCTTGGCTGAAGATGGTAACTTTCCTAGCTGGTAACACCTAAGAGCACTAAAATATTCCCCAAAAGGTTCAGCAGCTCAAAACTGCAGGATGGAGGAGCATGAAGAAAGATCTAACTCACCTCAAGTCACTCATGATTTTCCAAAAACTCAGAAAAATCAATACTGTCCTGCTATAACTGAATTTGCTCCTGATTTCAATATTATCAATGGCACCTGTGTTTACACAAAGCCAGGAATGACATCCTAACATGAAGATATTTCAGTTTTTCCAACTTCCAGCTGCCCCAAGGTTAATTCAGCCCTCCCTGATGCTTCAGTCCCACCTGGGATGTGGCACATCTCCTCAGCACCTCCTTGCTTGCACCTGGAGGGGGGACAATCCTGTTGAACAGCCCAGTCCTCAGACGTGGTGTGGGAACCAGTAAAGTCTTCCTTGCCTGAGGAACCACATGAGAAGGTTCATTTTATACTGAAGAAATGTTTTTATTGTCATACAGTAAAAACTGCATGGCCAAATATTTAATTTTTTATGTTGTTGATGGCACAGTGCTTGTAAGATTAATTTCTTCCAATACAGGAAAATTCCATCAAAAGGTTTATTGAAGAAATAAAAGGTAAGAGAGATATTTGAAGATATTTCAGGAGATACCTTTAAAGACAATTTCTCCTTTAAAGCTATGTCTCTAAATAGCTGTATGAGATAATAGTTTCAAAGTGACAAAGGGCAGGGTTAGATGGGATATTAGGGAGAAATTCTCCCTGTGAGGGTGGGGAGAGAAGGTGCCCAGAGAAGCTGTGGCTGCTTCTGGATCCCTGGAATGTCCAAGGCCAGGTTGGACAGCACTCTGGGATGGTGGAAGGTGTCCCTGCTCATGGCAGGAGGTTGGAACTGAATTATCCTTCAAATCCCTTCCAATCCAAACCATTCCATGACACTTATTGATTTGAGCTGCACATAAACCCCTTGAAGATGCAGTGCAGGTGTTGCTGAGGTGAGTTGTATTTTCTCCTCCAGCCAGGTCTTGTGAGCTCTCGGAGAACCCATCACACCTGAGAGAGCCCAGCTACCCCCAAATGGCATAAAATCAGCAGGATGGCTTTGAGGCAGTGTTGGAAACAGAAAAAAGTTTAATAAAAGGCAAAATAACAAAGCTCTTACAGAGACAGGGGCAAGAGGCTCTTGCTTCTGGTAAAAACACCCCACAAAAGGGATTATTTCCTTTGTTCTTTTCTTTTTCTAGTGAATTGCTTAGGCAGGACCTTTTGAGTTCTGTCCAGTTGGGTTTGAGGTGAAGTCCCCCTATGAGGTGTCTTTTTACCAAATTGAGGAGAGAAACTTCTGGTCTTTTTAAGGACACAGAGGATCATTTATTGACTCAGGGGACACATCCCTCCTGCCAGGCTGTGCTGTCCCCTCCCAGCCCCTCCTCAGAGCTGCCTTTACCTGCAGAGCCGCCAGCCGGGCACCTTCCAGAGGTTTGTCAGGATCCACCTTCACCTCCCGTGCTCTGCTGAACACCTCCAGCTCCCTGAGAGAGCAGCAGGCCTGGAGGGAGCCCTGGCACAGGGAAGGAGCCAAGAGCAGAGGATTTGCACTTACTCTGAGCACTCTCACTTACTTCCAGCGTGAGGAAGCGGGCGTTCCTCTGGGGAGCATCGGGGTTTATTTTTACTGCTCGGGCAGCTCGGAACTGCTGCAAGCCCAGGAGCCTGGAGGCAGCGTGGGAGGAGCCCTGTTTGCATAAAATATCAGCTCACAGCAGAAATGGGTAATGAAGAACGCTGCACCCTCTGGACAGGCTGATTTCTGCAGATTTTTAATTGAGGGGTGGCTAATTTTCTGTGAAATGTCCAGTGCCAGCTTGGACAGGGGTGGGAGGGGGATAGTGAAGGTGTTGCTGCTGAGGGAGCTTTAAATGCCCTTCCAATTCAAACAGGATCACAGAATAATGAAATCACACAATCACAGAATAACGAGGTTGGAAGAGACCTCTAAGATCATCGAGTCCAACCCATGCCCTAACACCTCAACCAGAGGTGCCACCAAGTGCCATGTCCAGCCTTTTTTTAACACATCCAGAGATGGTGATTCCACCACCTCCCTGGGAAGAGCATTCCAGTACTTTGTTATTCTTTTGGTGAAAAATGTTTTCCTAATATCCAAGCCATTCTGTGGCTCGGGAATTGGCAAGGGGGTTTTGTTTGCTTTCCTTCCAGGGCCGCTAGGCGCTGCCCGGGGCACTGGGGGGAAACTGGGGGGCACTGGGAGGGCACTGGGGGTTCAGTGGGGGCATTGCGGGGCACTGGGGACACTGGGGGGGCACTGGGTGGTAACTGGGGGGCACTGGGGGGGGTACTGAGGGGTACTGGAGGTACTGGGAGTAACTAGAAGGGCACTGGAGGGGAACTGGGGAGGAAATGGGAGGGCACTGGGAGCTCTGAGGGGGAGCTGGGGGGCACTAGGGAGGATCTGGGAGGGCACTGAGGGGCACTGCAGGGTACTGGGGGGGAACTGGGGCCACTGGGGAAGCACTGGGAGGGAACTGGGGGTTCAGTGGGGGCACTGAGGGGCACTGGGGAGGAACTGGTGGGGAACTGAGGGCACTGGGGGTGCACTTGGGGGCACTGGAGAGCATTGGGGGAGCACTGCGGGGAACTGGGAGTTGCTCCCGGCAGAGCGGGGCAGGGAAGGAGCAGCAGCAGGACGCGGCCCAGCGCCGGCCGTACCTTGAAGTTGGGGATGCGGCCGCGCACGGGCCGCGGGAAGTCGGCCAGGCCCGAGGCCTCCAGGTGCTCCCACACCTCCTCCCGGATGTCCCCCTTGGAGCGGCCCGCTGGGGGCAGCGCCGCCGCCATCGCCCTCACGTCACCGCCATCCCGCACCCGCCCGCCGTGACGTCACCGCCATCCCCGCCCGCATGCCCGCTCTCTCCGCCGCGCCGTGACGTCAGCGACGCCCCGCCCCTCACTAACTCATCATCGTGACGTCACCATCGCGTCCGCACCTCAAAATAGTGACGTCACTGCCGATAAACCACACCTCTCATAGGATCAGCGCTGAGGGGCGGAGCCTCCACCTTGGCCACGCCCCCGGCGGGCGCGCGGCGGCTACGGCGGCGCTGAGGGCTCAAAACGCCTCGAAGACAAAGTTGGGGAAGAGCCGTGAGGGAAGGTCGCTAAAGGCCCGATTTATTTATGGAATTAAACATTAAAAAGGCTGTGCTGGCGCACTAATGGGAGATTATACAAATATCACGGGCGTTCCATCACGTCTTATGACTGGGGGTAAAATTCCACCTCGCTTTTTGTAAAATTATCCCTCACATTAATTGCTTTTCCATTTAGAACTGGCCAGTGGTGAATAAAACAATGTCCAGCCTCTGCGTGGGTTCCCCAATCTGCCGCCTTCCCACAAGTTCATTTCTTGCTCGCCTTTAATTGGATAATAAATTATTTGTTTGTGCGATTTATTATTTATAGAATTAGAGCATTCTACTAAAACCACCACAAAAAAAGGAGTTTGAGAATCCTGACATTCCTGAGCGGGATGGAGGGGTCATGAGAACAATGAAATGGTGAATAAAATTCATGAAGGTTTATTTTAAAGCATGCTGGAGAAGGGGGGAAATGTCTTCAGAGTTGGTATATTTATTATTATTTATATTATGTTGTATTGTATTGTAGTATGTTGTATTGTATTATATTGTAGATATGATATTATATTATTTATTATCATATTTATTATTATACCCCACTTGGCAGGGATGCTGCGGATCCTCGGTCAGAGCCAGCTGCAGCTGTGCCAGCCCAAAAAATCAGAATAAATTGGGACGCTCCTCTCTGAGGGCTGCAGATGCAAACTCCTTTTCTGAGTTGTTTTCTCTCCACAAAGACCATGACTCTGCTGAGTTCAGGAATTTTTCCCTCCAGCTCTGAGCGATTCATGTGCATCAATGGGTCTTGGCTGGACTGGTGCCAGACAGAGCCCTTTCCTTTTCCATTTCCTTTCCCCTTTCCTTTTCCCTTTCCATTTCCCTTCCCTTTTCCCTTTCCTTTCCTTTCCTTTCCTTTCCTTTCCTTTCCTTTCCTTTCCTTTCCTTTCCTTTCCTTTCCTTTCCTTTCTTCCTCTTTTTTCTCCTCCTCTTTCCTGCTTTCCTTCTCTCTTCTTTCTTGCATTTCCTTCCTTCCTTCCTTCCTTCCTTCCTTCCTTCCTTCCTTCCTTCCTTCCTTCCTTCCTTCCTTCCTTCCTTCCTCCCTTCCTCCCTCCCTCCCTCCCTCCCTCCCTTCCTTCCATTTCCTTCCATTTCCTTCCTTCTCTCTTTTCTCTGCTCCTTCCTTCCCCACTTTTCCTCTCCCTTTGCCCACTCATTTTCTCTACTCACCCTCTCTCTCTGTTGTTCCCACCTCCATTCTTTCTTTCTTCCACGCTTCTCTCTCTTTCCTCTTTTCCTGCTCAGTATCTCTCTGTCCCTGTCTGTCCCTGTCCCTGTCCCTCTGTCTGTCCCTGTCCCTCTGTCCCCGTGCCCGGGCGGTGCCGGGGATCGCTGCATTCCCCGCGGTGTCCGCTGGGGGGCGACACACGCCGCGCGGAGCCCCCGCGGGCAGGTGAGAGCGGAGCGAGCCCGGGAACGGTAACGGGAGCGACAACGGGAATAACGCTGGGAACAGCCCGGGAACGGTCCCGGAGTGACACCGGGAACGGCCCGGGAATGACACCAGGAACGGCAACGGGAACAGCCCGGGGAACAGTCCCGGGAACGATACCGGGAACAGCCCGGGAATAGCCCCGGGAATGACATCGGGAACGGCCCAGGGATCTGTCCCGGGAACGGCCCTGGGAATGACACCGGGAACGGCCCCGGAGCGACACCGGGAACGGCTCCGGAGCTGTCCTAGAGCGGCCACGGGAACAACACCGGGAACGGCCCCGGGAACGGCGCCCGGGGCGCCCCGAAAGCTCCGCTGCCGCTGCCGGTAAAGGCTGCGAGAGGAAAAGCGGCGGCTGCCCCGGAGAAGCGGGCGAAGGGAGCCCCGCGGGGAAAATCCCGCATTTCCAAGCGCCTCCCGCTCTCCTCCTCCTCCAAGGGGCTCCTCTCCCTGCGCTCCCCCGCGTATTTTTCATAATACTAATTTTTATTTTATTTTGTTTTGTTTTATTCAAGCCATTCGAATTTTGGGTTTTTCCGAGCCCGCTGGTTCGGTCTCTTATCGGTGCCCAGCTGCAGCAAGCAAAGAACTTTTGCTGCTTCTGGGGGTTCTGTAGAAATTCAGCTCGGTAAGGTTTCAGCCGAGGGGAGGTAAGATTCCATCGAAGATATTTCTCCAGGCTTCTAGGAAGGGACAGCACTGCGACACCGCAGGGGTGGCTTTGCTCAAGCTCTCTTTTTTTTAAATCCCAGCATTTTATAAACTTATATCGTTAAAGAAATTCCATTTGCTTGTGTACAATGAGACGCAGCCCGAGCTGCTACGAGAAATGTGATTTATTTGAAAACCGAACACAAAAGTGTGAAGTCGTTCTCAAATTATTCCAGAAAAAAAAAATAAAAGTTTTCTCTTATGGTCATACATTTACATGAAAAGTATCAGCTTATCTCGCTGAATCCACTATTTGTTTTCCCAAACAAAATATCCCTGCACATTTTCTCGGTGGATGAAACCCTCCCCGAACATTCAAAATTATTTCCGTCAAAACTAAATAAGAATTTTAAAACACCCGAAGAAACTCCCCAATCAATTTTTCCATCGCAGATCATTTTTAACCGTCCCTCCTTGTAGAGGATCTGCCTCATAATTTAATTTTCCCCCTTCCTTTAGTTATCGCATAAAATCGTTTCCTTTCTTATTAAGAAAATCTCCGGTAATTAAGAGCCCCGCCGGGTTCCCACGAGTGGGAAAGGGACCCTCGGTGCCAGCAGCCGCCCAAAATCCCAGCCCGACTTTGGGGGCAAAAAATATCTTTGTTTAAAGCCTTACGAAACCGCACAAATTGCAAGGAGGGCGAGGCAAAATTACAGTGTAAGAAACCCAAAAATCACCGCTCGGGAATCACAGCGGCAGCAGCCAGGCTCGGGGAGGCGGCGGGAAGGAGCCCGAGAGAAGTGACAGCAAATTCATTCCGACCTTATCTCACTCTTTTCCAACTCGAATCGATTTTGCAGCGCTATTTTTGATTATAGATATATTCTGATTTTTATTTTTTTTTCCCTGCGGAGTGGGGAAATCGCTGGTTTCCCACCTCGGTTCTTTCTCCCGGCGGATCCACGCTTCTCCCGGGTGGAACAGAACAATTCGCAGCAGTTTCCCCCAACACTTGAGTTTACACTTGGTCACCATGCGTCCCTAATTGTCCCGCTCTGATTGCCTCTAATGAACTCATTAGGGACAAGGCACAGGGGCGGATTTCACAGCCACGAGAAAATCCACCTCAACGCCCGGAACGAAAATAAAATACAGACACTTAAATACGCTCGCTGCTTTTTGTGGGGTTTGTTGGGTGTTTTCTAGAATAATAAAATATCCCCAAACTCCCCCAAAGCGGCAGAACCCGCTGAACCCGCAACATTCAAAGCGCTCTGAACCCGCAACGACGGCACCACCGGGGCCGAGCCGCGATGTTCCTGCTACGGTGCGAGCACCCAGCGGCCTCTCCGGATGAATTCCACAGAAATACATTTAAAACCTTGTCCGCACGCACGGCCGGGCACTGGGACGCGGGGAGGACACGGGGACACCGCCATCAACCTGCCCGCACTCAGCGCTGACAAACCCCGCCGTTAGCAGGGGGCAGGCAGCGGGAAGGGGGCAGCGGGCACATCCCCGGCCCGGCTCGGGGCTGTTTTTGGGGCAGAACCGGCGGATCCCGCACGGCGGGCCCGGGGGTGCCGGTGCCGGAGCGGGGCTGGGGCCGAGGGTACCGGGGGTGCCGGAGCGGGGCCCGGCCCGGCAGCGCCGCCGCGTCCCGCGCTCCCATTGGCTGCGGCCGCGGCGCCGCGCGCTGCCATTGGCTGGCGGCGGCGCCGGGGGGCGGGGCCGGCGGGCAGTAAAAGCGCGGCGGCGGCGCGGGGCGGTTTTGAAGCTGCGCAGCGCGGCCGGGAGGGAGCTCGGCGGCGGCTCCCGCACCCCTCCGGGGGCTCCGCACCGCTTCGGGCCGCTCTTGTGACAACGACTGGGCTTTCCGCAAGGCTGCTTTTCCGGCTTTTTTCTTTCTACGTTTTTTCCCCAAATTTTTAAATTTTTTTTTACTTTTGTTTTGTTTGTGCTTTTTTTTTTTTTTTTTTTAAATTCCCTTTTTCTGCGAGAACAGCCCCCCCCACCATCAGCCCAGCTCCCGAGCGGGCCGTAGGCGTGTGTAGCAGAATCACAGTCATACAGAGGGAGGGAGAGGCCGCCAGAGACCACCCTGCCCCCGGCGACCCGGAGGATGCCGCTGCGGTGCCGCTGCTAGAGGACACGCTGGGATTGAGCTCGGCTCCGAGACTCTCTCTCTCTTTCTCTCCCGCTCTCTCCCTCTCTCCCTTCTCCGCGGAGGGGTCCCGGACGGGGGTGAGGCCCTTGCACCGTCCTCCTCTTCCTCCTGTCCTCGGCGGCCGCGGGCAGCCCCTCTCCATGATGCAGGCTCGCTACTCCGTCTCGGACCCCAACGCTTTGGGAGTGGTGCCGTATTTAAGCGAGCAGAATTACTACCGGGCTGCCGGGACCTACGGCGGCATGGGCAACCCCATGAGCGTCTATTCGGGCCACGCCGAGCAGTACGCGGCGGGCATGGGGCGCTCCTACGGCCCCTACCACCCGCACCAACCCACCGCCCCCAAGGACCTGGTGAAGCCACCTTACAGCTACATCGCCCTCATCACCATGGCCATCCAGAACGCCCCCGACAAGAAGATCACGCTCAATGGGATTTACCAGTTCATCATGGACCGCTTCCCTTTCTACCGAGAGAACAAGCAGGGCTGGCAGAATAGCATCCGCCACAACCTCTCGCTCAACGAGTGCTTCGTCAAGGTGCCCCGCGACGACAAGAAACCGGGCAAGGGCAGCTACTGGACCCTGGACCCCGATTCCTACAACATGTTCGAGAACGGCAGCTTCCTGCGCCGCCGGAGACGCTTCAAGAAGAAGGACGTGTCCAAGGAGAAGGAGGAGGCCCGGGAGCGGCTGCTGAAGGAGCAGCCCAAGCCCCCCGGGCTGCCCGGCGCCGACCTCCCCAAGGAAGCCTCTTCCTCCTCTTCCTCTTCCTCCGCCTCGGCGCCGGCCTCCGAGAAGAAAGTGGTGATCAAGAGCGAGACGGCTTCTCCCGAGCTGCCCGTGATCACCAAGGTGGAGACGCTGAGCCCGGCGAGCGGCGGGGCCGTGCGGGACAGCCCCCGCAGCGCCGCCTCGCCGCCCGCCGCCGCCGCCTCTCCGGACGCGGCGCTGCCCGAGCATCACCCTGCGGGCAACGGGCTGCCGGGCTTCAGCGTGGAGAGCATCATGACCCTGCGGACTTCCCCCGCGGCCGAGCTGAGCCCGGTGAGCGCCGCCTCGGGCCGCACGGGCGGCGGGCTGGCGCTGGGCTACCCCGCGGGGCAGCCGTCGGGCTACGGCGCGGCTTGCGGCCAGGCGCTGGACACTAGTGGGAGCTACCACTGCAGCATGCGGGCCATGAGCCTCTACAGCGGCGACAGAACCGCGCACATGTGCGCCCCGCTGGAGGACGGCATGGCCGAGCATCCCCCGTCACCGCTGGGCACGCTGAGCCTGCCCGCGGGGCAGGACGGAGCGCTGGGCACCGCGCATCCCCACGGAGGAGGAGGAGGAGGAGGAGGAAGCGGAGGGGCGGCGGCTGCAGCAGCGGGGGGACAACCTGCGGCTTCTTGGTACCTGAACCACGGCGCTGAGCTGAGCCACCTGCCCGGGCACACGTTCGGCTCTCAGCAGCAGACTTTTCCCAACGTGCGGGAAATGTTCACGTCGCACCGGCTGGGCATGGAGAGCGCGGCGCTGAGCGAGCACCAGGTGAGCAGCAACTCCGCCTGTCAGATCCCCTACAGATCCGCGCCCTCCCTATACCGCCACGCCGCCCCCTACTCCTACGACTGCACTAAGTACTGAGTAGCCGCCAGTAACCCCCGCTAAGACCCATTAAAAAAAAAAAAAAATATCAATAATAATTATTTTTTAAAAATCGGGAGAAATAAACCCACGGCAATAAAAATAAATCTGACACAGCTTCCCCGTGGACTCTGCGGCCACAGAGTTTGAAGATCCCAAAAAGCCTTCCTTAAATTGCGGACAAGTAGATTTTACTTGAAACAAATGGGGGATCTCTCGTTTAAAAAAGAAAGAAAATAAAGAAAATAAAAAGCTTTTTAAAATTATATATATGTTTATCTAAAAGTGGCAAATTTTATATGCTAAAGTATAGGGGGGTCTCAGAAAAATAAGTTATGGACCAATATCGCAACGACCATTTATACGTTTTAAAAGGAAAAAAAAAAGTTTATAAATATATATATAAATATATGTCCTGGGTATTTTTTGAGTTCTCTGTTGTGCTGTAAAAAATATGTGGATTTCTAATCAGGCTGATTTTCAGAGCCATTAATATAATATTTAAAGTTGAGTTCACTGGATTATTTTTGTCTCGCCCAACGATTCCTAACTTCCAAATTCATGACAAGTGATTTCTTCTTCTTTTCCTTCTGTGTACAATTATGCAATAGATTTTCTTTCGTTTTAGAGCTGTTCTTTTCTCAAGACGAGGAAATAATTTATTTTTTGCTGGTGGATTTTGTTTTTTAAGGAAAAAAAATTAGACAAAGTATCTGATACTTTTTTATTATTATTTACGACGTGTGATGTTTTGTATAATAGATTTCACCTTTACCATTCCTAAGGACTTATTTGCTTTAACCTGCTTCAAAGTTCGTTTGTCTTATGTGGTCCTAATTGTTGTACTTACCTTAAAATAAATCCATGCTGGTTTTTTTCTGCTCCAAGTCTGCCGCTTCTCTGTGTATAAACTGGGGATTTTTTAACAGGTTTTTTTATTTTTCCTTCCTTCACGCAGAAAACGTGGCAGTGGTTGTTTTTAAAACAAAAATGATTTTCCTGGAGGTTTCTTTCTTGGAGACGAGGTTGAATTCACGTGAAGAGCTGGAATTGTACAACTGGGGAGGGTGGGGAAGGAAAAACAGCGGGGCTCAATCCCAAATCCCTGCCAGGGTGAAAATTCAGGATTTTTCCCAGGCCTGCCATGGGGAAAACAGGAAAAGAGGAGGCGCAGGGAGGGGAATTTCTGCTCCTCTCGCCCCCTCCTTGCACGCCCGGAGCCGCCTCTTCCCAGGGCAGAAAACACCCACCCACCCCTAAAAAAAAATCCATTTCATTTATTTATTTATTTGGTTTTCTTGAAAGGAATCCCGAGTGCCTGGGAGTGAGAGCGATCATTTCAACCCGGCCTCGCCGCGGAGTCTTAGAAAGGTGGAAAGTTCACTCGGGAATCGTTTCGGGTTTGAAATCCTCTCTTGGTGGAAGAATTGGCTGATTTTAACTTTTTATTTTCATTTATTGATGCTCAGGTTCGCAAGGCCGGGCTCTGTCAGATATTCTGGCTTTTCCCAAATCATCTTTTAACCTGTTCAAGCTTTTTCATCCAGGGCAAAGCGCCGGATTTAGCAATCCCGAGAGCCTGGGAATGCCGGCAAAGCCTAAAGCAGAGTTTAGGAGATCTTTGGAACTTTTCAAGCGCAGATTTCTGGAGCCAGGCTCTTTTCCCAGCTATAAAATCACATCCATGCAGCAAAAAGTCCCACCCGTGCCCCATCCCACCCCTGCAGCCCCCCAGTGCCCCTAAAATCCTTTATTTTCTGGGTTATACCCACGTCAGGGTGTTGAAATCGATGATCTAAATTGGTTTGGACCGGTTAAATTTCGCCTGCGCTTGAAAGCTGGCAAAAAGCATAGAAAGTCTCGATTTAAATGAGAAAAAAATGTCTGAACCTCACTTGATCTGTGTTTTAAGGAACATTCTTGTAAAAAAACCCCCCCCGCCGTTTTTCCTGGCTGTCGGAGGGAGTTTTTTTATCTAATTTTATATTTTTCTTCTTTTTTATTATTTTTTTTATGAAATAAAATTCGAAGTGCTTTCTTAATAAGAGAAAATAGAGAGTGTAAAGGATTAAAAAATAGGGGAATAAAGGCGAAAATTATGAAAAGAAAATAAATAGGAGAAAAAGGAGGGGGAAATACGAATTGGGAAATAATTCTTCCACAATCCAGACCATCTTCCCATGGGATTTTTTTCCTGCGTGGGTCCCGGGGTCGCTCTGGGGGGGAAGCCTGAGGTCAGGTGCCTGCTGTGGCCTTTCCCACCCGCGTGGAACAATCCCAGGATTGCTCCTTGGGAAGATGGGAATTTGGGGACCCTTTTCCTCAGGGATGAGATGTGGGTCCGGGATCGGGGACACCCCGTGTGCTGCTGCTGGACAGTTCCTGGCATCCCCTTTCCCCCCAAATTCCTTTTTTTGGTGTTTCTTTCCCCACCTCGCCCTGCAGGACGGTCCCGCACGGGATCTGCCCCGCTCCTGTCCCCTCTCCCCTGTCCCTGTCCCCTCTGGAGAGTTCCTGCGGGCTGCGAGCATCATCCCCTTGCTGTGTCCCCTCCTGTCTCTGGGCTCCGTCCCCTGCCACCCCAAACACCCCACGGGGAGCCCTTTGGGGTGGGCTGGTGTCTCATGAGAGCCTTTTGGGGCGGGCTGGTGCCACAGAAGAGCCTTTTGGGATGGGTTGGTGTTTCTGGAGAGCCTTTTGGGGTGGGATTGTGTCTCATGAGTCTTTTAGGGTGGGCTCGTGTCTCAGAAGAGCCTTTTGGGGTGGACTGGTGTCGCAGAGGAGCCTTTTGGGGCGGGCTGGTGTTTCTGGAGAGCCCTTTGGGGTGGGCTCATGTCTCAGGAGAGCCCTTTGGGGTGGGATTGTGTCTCATGAGAGCCTTTTAGGGTGGGCTCATGTCTCAGAAGAGCCCTTTGGGGTGGGCTGGTGTCCCATGAGAGCTTTTTGGGGCGGGCTGGTGTCGCAGGAGAGGCGAGAGGCTCCTTTGCTGACTGTTTAAAAGCTGCGATACGGATCTCGGTACCGCGATCAGAATCTGTCTGACAGGTGACTCCAGCCTGGCCGGAGCAGAGGGGAAGGAAGGAAGAATGAAGGAAGGAGGAAGGCCCAGGATAACTTTTGAAGGCAGCCATGACCAGATTTGTCTTTCAGCCCCTGAAGGAGCAGCAGAACCCCCCATAGCCCCTCTCCCGCAGCTCAGGGGGCAGGTTCGGCCCCGGCACTGGCTGATGCTGCGTGGGGCTCAGAGAACAGGATGAGGATGGTGGATTTGTCGCCTAATTTCTTTTTATTGTATTGCCATCCACCACCGGATTTGCAAACCTGTCCCAAACCCCAGATAGTTTCGGTCCTGGGGAGGAGAGCCAGCGGTTTTCCATCTCTCCCCACAGCCCAGCCAAGGCAGCTTTTCCCTGGTGGAACAAACACACCCCCCGCCCAGGAATGCCCCGCACAGCCCAGCAGAGCCGTCCCGTCCCTCCCAAGCACTCCCACCTTCCCTGGAGCTCGGGTGAGCGGTTTTCGGGGAAGGCCACGAGCTCTTCTGTCATTTCCAAAGGGACTTCCCAGAAAATCCATAGCGGGCACTGGAAGGAAACACATCCCTGATCCCGGGGAGACACCGAGAGACCGGGTTCTGTGCTGGGCCAGGGGCGAGGGGCGGGCGGTGCCCACCGGGAGGGCATTGCTGGGGAGCCCGGCCGGGATGGGGCAGGAATGGGGAGCTCTGGTTCACACTCCTGAGGTGCCCAGCCGGGATGGGGCAGGAATGGGGAACTCAAATTCACATTGCTGAGGAGCCCGGCTGGGATGGGGCAGGAATGGGGAACTCAAATTCACATTGCTGAGGAGCCCGGCTGGGATGGGGCAGGAATGGGGAGCTCTGGTTCACATTCCTGCTCCCCTCCATGCCGGGATACAGCGGGAATGGGGAACTCAAATTCACATTCCTGAGGAGCCCGGCCGGGATGGGGCAGGAATGGGGAACTCAAATTCACATTCCCTTTCCTATCCAGGCCGAGATACAGCGGGAATGGGGAGCTCAAATTCACGTCCTGCTCCCCTCCATGCCGGTATGGGGCAAGAATGGGGAACAAGGATTTACATTCCCTCTCCTATCCAGGCCAGGATGCGGCGGGAATGGGGAGCTCAAATTCACATTCCTGCTCCACTCCAGGCCGGGATGGAGCAGGAGAAGGGATCACTGTTTTTTGCCCTGCTCCCCACATCCTGGGATACAGCAGGAATGGGGAACTCTGATTCACATCCTGCTCTACCCCAGGCCGGGATGCAGCAGGAATGGGGAACAATGTTTTCTGCCCTGCTCCCCACATCCTGGGGCGCTGCGGGAATGGGGAGCTGTGATTTACACCCCCTCTTCCTCCAGTTCCCTCAATGCAGCAGGAATGGGGACCTCGGTTTTATACCCCTCCTTCCCCCATTTCCTGGGATGCAGCAGGAATGGGGACCTCGGTTTTATACCCCTCCTTCCTCCATTTCCTGGGATGCAGCAGGAATGGGGACCTCGGTTTTGCACCCCTCCTTCCCCCATTTCCCGGATTCAGCAGGAATGGGGAGCTCTGATTTACCCCCCCATTTCCCCCGGGCAGGACTAATGCGGGAGTGGGGATCACTGATTTACTGCCCTTTTTGCTCCCAAAATCGTGATGCAGAAGGAGTGAGGAACTCTGATTTTTGGCTTCCTCCCGCCATTTCCTGGCATGGATCAGGAATGGGGGATCACTGATTTGCACCCCTTCTTCCCCATTTCCTTGGATGAATCAGGAATGGGGAGTTCTGATTCACAGCCTTCTTCTTTCCCCCAAGACTGGGATGCAGGATCGGGAATCCCTGATTTCCACCCTGATTTCCCCTGTTTCCCGGGATGCAGCAGGAAAGGGGAGCTTTAATTCACACCCTTCTTCCCTCGAGACCGGGAATCCCTGATTTCCACCCCTGCTCTCTCAATCCTTAGGTGCAGCAGGATTGGGAATCCCTGATTTCCACCCCTGCTCTCTCAATCCTTGGGTGCAGCAGGGTTGGGAATCCCTGATTTCCACCCTTTCTTCCCCCATTTCCCGGGATGCAGCAGGAACGGGGAGAGCTCATTCGCGCCCTGCTCCTGTCCGGGGCTCCGGGCGGGACCGCTCCTCGCTGCTGCTTTAAAAGGGGCTCGTCAGCTGGAGAGAGGAGGGGAAACCCATCCAGGAGCGCCTCCATCGCCGCGTTGTTTATTTGTTTTGGGTTTTGTTTTTGTTTTTTTGCTGTTTTTTTTTTTTTTTCGTGTGTGTGTCTTTTTTTTTTTGTTTGTTTGTTTTTTTTTTTTTTGTGTTGGGGTTTGGTTTTTTTTTTTTTCAATTTAGGGAAAGAGCGATGGAACCAACAGCATCGAGAACCCCCCTCTGTCTCTTTTCCCCGGCCATCGGAGCCTCTCGGAGGCCGATCGCGTTCGGAGCTCCAGCGATGCCGCCGGCAGGGAAGGCACAACAGGGACAACACTGCAGCACACACGAGCTGGGAAAAAGGAACGGAGAGAAAAGCCGCATCCCCGCCTCCAAGGGTGTCCCACCGCCGAGAGGGGAAAACAAGGGAGGAAGAGAGAATTTGGCTGGGGGAGGGAGCTCGGGGAGAGAGAGAGAGAGAGAGCGAGAGCCCCGGGCCTGTCTCCGGCCGTACACGCGAGTATTTATTGTGCTGCTAATCCGTGCCTGGAGTGTCTCAAGGAGCGGGGGACTCCCCGAGGTGGGAGAGGAGGAGGAGGAGGGTGAGGGAGGAAGACCCTCGGTGGCTGCTCTGAGGATGCTCCGGGCGGCTCCATCCCATCGCTCCCCAGGGGCGGGGAGGCAGCTCGGGGGTGGGTGCTGCTCCCCAAATCCCTCCTTTCACCTCTCTCTTTATTTATTTGGGGCTTTATTGCGCTTTTGCACGGCGGGCGGGTGCTGCAGCTGCCGGGGGTGCGGGAGGGATGCGGAATCACGGGCGAGGGCGGTGTTAGAGGGGTGAATTCCCCTCCCACGAGTGGGCTCAGCCATTGAGGGGGGAGACCCCCGCACCCCCGCCCCAGAAGCCGCTCCCCGCTCACCCCGGCAGCGTTTCCCAGGCTCTCCTGGCGATTTGCAGCTTTCAGGACCCATCCGGAGCTCCACAGCATCGCGCTGGGTTTTTACAAAATTAAAAATTAAGATTAAAAATCCTTCTCCTGACAGGGGAGCGACACTGGGTCAGAAACACCATGGGTGAAGGGGAACTTGCAGGGAAATGCGGGGATGGCATGGCCAGGGCAGGGTGGTGCTGGGGGATAGCAGGAGCTCGGCTTTTACCTCCTCCTCCCCTGCCAGGTAAAAATCCCGTGGGAGCTGCTGCGCTGTTGGGATGTTTCTCTTTGAAGGAGAAAAGGATCCCCCCCAGGCCTCTTCTTCCATCCCTCGGAGCAAAGATGCTCCACAGGACAGGTCTAAACCCGCGGGGGGATTGGGGACACACAGGCGACACCTCCAACTGCATCGGAATCCCTCGGGGCCTCGCATTAGAGCTGTTACGTCAGTAAATTATAAAAAAAAAAAAATAAAAAAATCCGACAACAGAAAACACAGCCCCAAACCTGGACGTTTATACAGAAAAAGAGCATCACAAATTCCTAATGTAAGCACCGGCCAGCTGTGTGCACTTGTAAAGTTGTTATAATCCCCCTCCTTGTTATAAACAGGAAAGTACATAATATAAAGCAACAGGCCCGCATTCACAAATACTGACCCTCCTCCCCGGGCCTGCCAAATTCCCCTTTTTGCTGCAATCTGGGCTGCATCGGGGTCCCCCTTCTTCGTCTCCGGGGGTCTCCTCGTGGTGGAAACCTGGATCGGGAGGTGCCAAGGACCCCTCCACACCTGATCCCCCCTTCCCTTTTCCTTCCTCATCGCAGCTCTGCCTCCTCCCCTCATCCACCCTTTTCTCTTCTTTTCTTCAATTTTTAATTATTTTTTTTTTTACATTTTGTGTTGTTGAATGCCGCAGTTTGGCTGCGGGGATCCCTGCCCGCTGCTCCCCAGCTCCAGCAGTGAACATCCTGCTCTGCTGCGTGTGCTTACAGCGTCAAAGGGTGGACGTGATATTTCAAACATCAGATCAGTGCGTTTATATATTGGGTGCCCGGAAATTTTTCCAAATAAACACAGCTTGATTCGACTTGGGTGGGCAGACTTATCAACAGACTAATTCTATAAACAAATGAAGGAATAACCCGGAGACCATTGGCTGGTACCAGCGAGACACGTGGAGAGAGCTCGGAGTTTTGTAGCAATGAAATTTTAATTAATGTGGGTGGGCTGAGAACACAAACGACTGTTTATCAGAGACAATTTATTTTCCAGCGCTAAGTCAACATATAATAGCAAACTTACAACAATTATTTAACTTTTTTTTTTTCCTCCCCCTTTTTTTTTTTTTTTTTTTTTTTTTTTTTTTTTAAGAGCTATGAAGCAGGGACAGAGGGAGAGCGAGCTCCTTCAGGCAGGGCTGGGAGCTGAGCTCGCACAAACAGCTCCCCGGTGGACTCACGATCCTGCTTTGCTCGGCTCCGAGGGGGAAGGCGCGGAGCTGCGATGAGCCACATCTACAGCAGCCACCTGTCCCCCCTGGGCAGCCCGTCCATGGTTTACCTGCCCGCCGCTCTCGGCTTCACCCCCGGGGGGGCCATGTCCCGGCAGGACCCCCCTCAGAAACCCCCCTACAGCTACATCGCCCTCATCGCCATGGCCATCAAAGAGGCTCCGGAGCAGAAGGTGACCCTCAGCGGCATCTACCAGTTCATCATGGACCGCTTCCCCTTCTACCACGACAACAAGCAGGGCTGGCAGAACAGCATCCGCCACAACCTCTCGCTCAACGATTGCTTCGTCAAGGTGCCCCGCGAGAAGGGCCGGCCCGGCAAGGGCAGCTACTGGACCCTGGACCCGCGCTGCCTGGACATGTTCGAGAACGGCAACTACCGCCGCAGGAAGAGGAAGCCCAAAGCCGCGAACCCTCCGGACGCCAAGGGCACCGAGCAGCCGGCGCCGCCCGCCCGCCCCGTCGAGCCCAAGCGGGCCAAGGGGGACGCGGCGGTGCCGCGGGCGAGTGAGGGGACAGCGCCTTGTCCCCAGCCCCCGGTGCCCCCCGCTGCCGCCCCGGCGCACAAGAGCGTTCCCCGGGGCCGCAGCTTCAGCATCGAGAGCATCCTGGCTCAGGGGCTGCGGCCGCCGCCGCCCGGGGCAGCGGCGCCCAAGGCGGCCCGGGCCAGCCCCGGCTGCCGCGGCGGATCGCTGGTGGCCGGCGGCGCCTTCGGGCCGGCCCTCAACGCTTCGCTCGTGCTCGACTCCCAGGTGCACGGGAGGCTTTACCACATCGGCATCCCCTTCCTCTCCTGCTTCCCGCTGCCCTTCTCCGAGGCCGTGTTTAATTTCCAGTAGTTCCCCCCCCCCCCCCCCCCCTACAATTAACGCGCCCCCGGTGCCGAGCGCTGCTGCGGGGGGCGCGCTGGGAGGGAGAGATCGGACTCAGACCTCACCACGCGGGTAAAGACCTAAAAAATCCCCCCTCAAAGCGATGCTTTAAAGGTGACTCAGGATTTCAGGGCATTTTCAAGGCGCGTTTTGCTGCGGACTCTCTTTTGCCCCTGCCAGAGCGACTTTGGAAGGTAAAAAGCGGCTTTGTGCTCCCGTGGGCGGTGGAGGCAGAGGCAGCACCACGCTGGCCCCAAGCCCCGAGGGCTTTGCTCTGCACCTTTACTCTTTGCATCCCTCAGGTTCCTCAGAGCAGGCTTCCCCCGAGCCCTTCAGGTCTCTGTTTTCTTCTTTTATTTTTCCTTTGAAAGCCAAGCCCCATGCCGGGGGGAGGAGGCTGTTTTGTTTTGCCATCATTTTGTTTTGCCATCATTTTGTTTTGCCATCCATAGCCACAGGTATTAATAATGCCCGTAATTTTGCCATCAATACCCACAGGCACATGATAATTCCTGATATTCCCCACTGGCCCAGTCCTCCCAGTGCGTAACTGGAGCTGAACTCGTGGCAGACCAAGCAATCCAGACTCACCCTGAATATTCCTGCTTGCTTTGACCCAGCATGGCGTGGAACTGGTTTCCTGCTCAGCACTGATGCTTTGGAGTATCCCCACAGAGTTTCTAATCATGGATGTGGCCAAAAAAAAGGGGATGGATGTGCAAACATGAAAATTTGTCTTTTTCCAACTCTTACTGGGATCGGTTGCTTCTGACCAAAAAAGACTGAGGCAGGGTTGTGGAGGCCAGGAGAAATACCAGAAAAAAAGATAAAAAGAGACATCAGCAATGTTTCTAAAGATTTTTGTAAAGAAGGAAGAATCCTGACACACTGCAAGAAATAAGGAATATTTTGTATTTTTGTTTGCCGTAAATAGAGGCTTTTTGTATATTCGTGGATAAATGCCCTTTTGGGGAAAAAAATTATATTCTCAATTTTCATTATGAAACTAAACCTATATCCAATAAAGGTATTTTTGTTCAGGATTGTGGCTGGTGTGATGTGAAACACCCCTTGGTTTGTGATGGAGGAAGGAGGAGTGGGGCCTGCTGCTGATATAATGGGCCACAAAAAGATGGGAGTACAAATAAGCTCCTGGGAAATTGCCTGTTCCTTGAAATGCATGAGATCTTTCCCCAAAATGATTGTTCCTCCTTCTCTTCCCCTTCTTTCATCTCACCCTGTCTCAAAAGCAAGGCTTGCTCTTAAATGAGCACCTGGATATTGGAAATGTTTGGTTTTCAGGTGAGTTTTGGTTCAGTTTTGCAGAGGAAGGTTGGCATCAATTCCTTGATGTTTGGACCAGGGTTGCTCATTCCAGCCCAAGGCAAACAGTTCTTATGTGGGGAAGGACAGAAAATCTCCAAAAGGTGAGAATTGTTATTTAGCTTCCCCGTAAAAATGATGCTCATAGGCAGATCCCTGGATGGGCTGAGCTGGAGCTTCTCAATATAAAAGACAATAAAAACATATTTTATTTTTTAAAATCAGATTTGCAAGACAGATTTTATTTTATTAGCTTCCTATTTCTTGCAGCTGCTGTTTGAATATTGAGTTGTTGAAAGTGCTGGCACTGAATTAGAAAATGAAGAAACACTTGCAAAAGGTTGTGAAGGTGTCACTGCTTGGTCTCCAGCACGATTCCCAGGGCTGGGTGAGTGCTGAGAGGGTTCAATGTCCCTGTGTGCCACTCCTGGCCCTGTGTGGCATTAGGGACAGGCGCCAGGTACAGAAGGGGTCACCTGGCCAGGAGGTTCCATTCCAGGCTGGCACTGACATCACCCACAGGAAAGGGGAGGAAAATGAGCCCAGCAGAGCCCTCAGTCCTCCCTGCACCCCCTGTGTGCTGATTTGGGTTTGGGGTGGGGTGGGAGGTTGATGTTCCCTCCCAGGAATTGTTTGATGGGTCTCCATCAAGCCCTTCCCCTGCATCCCTGGTGTCCCCACAGCCCAACCCATGGAAAGGTTTCGCCCCCCAAAATTGGATATTTATGCTCTCAGTCACCACTTTTAACCTGTGCCTTCTGTTCCTCTGTTTTCCTTTCCCCTAACTTGGCCTCCCAGCTGTGACGCCCAGTTTTGTCACATCTCAGCTCCTATTCCAGCCCCCAAAATACCTTTTTGGACCTGCAAACAGGGCTTTTATCCTTTCCTGTTCCCACATGTGGGATCTCTCCCTGAGCCTCCTCCTCTGACCCCTTTTTGCCCAAGAACAGTTTTTTAGTGGTGAAATAAATTGAGTCTCAGTTTAATACACAATGTATATTTTTATCACAGACACTTTTTTTTTGGAGACCCAGCATTTTCTACGCAATGGGAATTTGTTTCTTTGTGAAGCTTTGCTTTGACATTTGATCTTATTTCTGTTTTGGTGGAGTGGAGTGGGACCAAGTGCAGCTGCAGCCTTTAAAAGTCACATTGAGCTTGATTTTGGTTTTGCTTGAGGGAGTGAAATTAGTAAACTTAACATGCTCTGCACAAAAGTGACACTAACTCCAATGAGCTCAGTACCCGGTGAGCAGTTCTGAGGGGCAATTTGGAATTAATTGGGATCAGGCCAGTGCTGTTACAGGGGATAAATACCAAGAAAAAGGGTCTTATTGCCAGCAGGCTGGATGAGTAACCACACACGGCTTCTGCACGTCATCTGTTTATAGAGAGGGGAGAAGTCATGGTACAATAAAAACATACAGTAAAAACATAAAATAAAAACACACAGTGAAAACAACAGCAGAGCAATGAGTGTGCAGTCAATTCACCGATTCCTGCCCTTTGCATGGGGCTGAGCATCCTTTAATCCTCTCCACATCCACGTGGATTTTGGTGCCATGGAAAAATCGAGGACCTGAGGAGCTGCAAGGAATCGGTGCCAACGGTTTCACACCTGCTTCACAAGCCAAAAAACCAGCTGCCAAGCACAGAAATGCCACCCAGCATTTCACTCATCCCTGCAATCTTGCTCCTCCTGGCTTTCCCAGCCTCTCAGGGCTGGCTATAAACACCAGTCTGGAATAGTGGGGAGAAGTGGAAGCAGCCTGGGATGCAGGATAAACAGCACACTGCCTGTGTGGGCGATGGAGATGCCTTCCCCTTCCTCTGCAGAGGAATGACCTCTCCCAACCCAGCAAGGTTTCTCCTCTCCCAGCTCTGCAGCCAATTTTAACTCCTAGGAGCAGGGAGATCACAGAGGAGTTGTTTGGTTCCCAGAGGGGCTTTCTCCAAACGTGAATTTCCTATGAGGGGAACTGAAAATTGGGCATATTAAAATAATTCCGGAGTTTAATTCCTCATAAATGAGGCTTCCAGTCTTTAAATAGGCTCAGTGTGTGTTCTCCTAAAGTTGGTCTCATAGCATGGATAAAATATAATCAAGTATTTAAGCATGAGCAGAAGCCACGTTCAAGGTTTGTCACTCAAGGTGTGGCTATCCATGCCTGATTCCAAGGTGCCGTAAATCTCAGGGACTCTGTAGCCTCTTCTCCTTCACACAATTTAAAAGTTAATTCTCTTTCTATTCCTTACCACAGAAAACACACAAAGGAGGGACCATCCCTTTCCACACCAAAACCCACGGGCTTCCTGCTGCCTGCCCCTAAGCCTGGTGTGAGGAGCAGCCAATTCCCAAAGCAAAAAAGGGAAGAAGGATCTGCTTCCTCACTTGATTCATAGCCCCACACACCCAGAGAAGAGATCTCCCAGGAGACTGCGTTCAGGATATTAAACAGATCACGTATTTGATTTGAAGTGAAAGACCAAGAAGACAAGATCACAGAATGAGAGAAGTTACAGATGGAAAAGGTCTATGAGGTTATGCAATCCATCAGTCTGGACGTTGCATAATTGCTCCCCACAGTATATTTTTAGTGCTTTATCCAGACAAATCATTAAGTACTTTAAAATGGGCCAGATTCCTCAAATGCAGTGCGTGCTAAGTCACAACTGATTTCCCTGAGCCTCGCAGCTCCCAGTGTCTAACAAGACACCAAGAGGAAGTTTTGTGTGGTCAGAGAGAACAGAACGGGCCCTTCCAGAAATAATCCAGGCTATCCCTCACAGGAATCTCTCCTAAATTGACTGAGTGAGACCTCTAAAATCTCATTTTCGGATTACAGTGAATAATACATTATTACTTATTCAGATGTTCTCTTAGGCCAAAGTCAAACATTGCTCGTGTTCATGCGAGCACCATTTGTTTTAAGCCAGCTTCAAAGCCGGCTCAGCAAAGCGTAAAGAATGTTTATTTAAAATATAGTTGCTAAATTTAGCATGAGCTCGGTTAGCCTAAATCTTAGGGACATTTTTAGAGAGCACATTGCGAATCAGGAATGCATGGAGAAATAAATAAACTTTCCCACATTTTTGGAAATGGAGGGAGAATTTGCGAGCTCTTTCTCGCACGGGCGATTTCCGTGGATTGGAGGACACAAATTTCCCACTGAACAGACAGTTGGAAATGCACAATGCTGACCATTTTCACTGCAGTTTGGTTTCAAATAATGCTCCTTCAAGGAGGAAACAAAAGCTGTCAGCTTTTTTTTTAACAGAAATTACGCAGAGCACCAACATGTTTCAATATTTACCCAAGCTTTTTGCAAAGCACCGAGAAGCAAATGGAGCTGGGCTTGGGCACGAGCCAAATCTCAGGTTTGGATTAGGTCTTGTGACCTTTCCTAGGAATTCTGATCCTGGATTTTACACCCACCTCTTGCATATTGGTTCAAACATCCCCCAGCTGGATGCTGGGCTGGGTGAAATGCCAGCCGCCCTCTGGGTTGGATATTTAGACAGAAAATTTTTATGAAGAAATTTATGAAAATTTTAATGTTTTTAGACAGAAAATTTTCACTTTCCGGTTTTTCAGACAGAAAATTTTCACTTTCCTAAGCTTCCACAGCTTAAAGAGGCACATT